ACAGCAAGATAATATAATTTCACTTACCTGGCCTATCACTTGAAGCAAACATCCATCCCTTCTTAAAAGTCTGTGTTAAAAGAGAGCTGCCTGTTGCGCCATTTAATTAAGCCGTCTGCTGTTGCCTATATCCAGCTTAGGCTGTTTTCCCTTTTTTTTTAATTTGTATATATACTGTTTGAATGACAGCTTGGTAAATCTGTTGGCAATCAAATATTCAATATCGCTACTCATCATTAGTACTTGGTACATTATCAGCACAGCGGCAGACGTTCAAATTTAATTTACGTCTCTGATGATTGGTTGATATCAGAAGGGAGGCTAGCTTTCACGTTATGGTATTACAACTGTGAAATTACAAACAAAAAATACACATTCTGAGACATGAACTGAAATGAATTGTGAATTTTATTAACATTAAATCGTCCTCCTCCCATTTTCACCTCAAAATTATGGGGAAGGTGTGCCTCCCCTGACGAGCCGCCACTTTAAATTGGTTTTGTGTTTTTTACCATATGACATGATGGCATGACACGAGATGTGATGTCATCCTAATGCAGTGATTTGATTATCCATCTATTTCCTTTCATAGGAGAAAGTGATTCTCTCCCTGAAAGTGCAGTACTTTGTAGAAAATGTTCAACTAATTTTGTGAGTACAATGTTATTTTCTTTTCCTCCTTTTCTTTTCTTTTGTGTTTTTGGGAAATTTGGAAAATGTTTGTCACCTTACTTTGTGTCAGTGTCCTGATCGTCTTATTTGATTTAACCCTGTTAAGCCTGATATATAGTCAGAAAATCTGTTTTATTTTGAATAATCAAGTAAACCTAAGTTGATTCGGTCCAGTAAGTGTTCATATTTCAGAATGTGTAAATTAACTTCCAACTAAATTAATTAATATCAGGTAATGTATTACGAACAAAGATAAATAAAAAATGGACGATAGGTAATTTATAAGATAGCATTAATCTTGATGAAAGTGACGTAGGAATACTAGGAATTAGTGCTCTGCATTTAACCCATCCTAAGTGCACACACACAGCAGTGAACACACACACACACACACACAGTGAACACACACACCCAGAGCAGTGGGCAGCCATTTATGCTGCGGCGCCCGGGGAGCAGTTGGGGGTTCGGTGCCTTGCTCAAGGACACCTCAGTCGTGGTATTGAAGGTGGGAGAGAGCGCTGTACATTCACTCCCCCCACTTACAATCCCTGCCAGACCTGAGACTCGAACTCGCAACCTTACGAGTCCGACTCTTTAACCATTAGGCCACGACTTCCCCCTAATAGTGCAGCTGTTTCTGCTCGGTTTAATTAATGCTATAAAAATTGTGGTTCATTGTTAGTTCATGATACCAAATGTATTAACCAATATTAACAAACTGGAAAAGCATTAGTGAGTTTATTTTATTAAATGCAGGAAATGGGTTGCCTGGGAAAACGGTCAGTTATATAGTTTGAGTCATTTACAAATATATTTGACCACAAAATGCTGTGATTGACCAATCAGAATCAAGTGAGCCATAGTAAGTCAATTTAATAAAGGAGTATCCGAGACCTAAATAATAGTATTGCTGAATTGTTTTTATTGTTAATCATTTAAGTTGTGCATTTAAAAAATGTTTAAGCATCATTTGAACTGCTTATTTCATTCTCAAAGAAATGGTGAAACCCGTCAGCTGTGTTATGCTGAGCTGAAAGGGAGAGTTTTGAGATCCGAGTGCTTTGAGCAAGAAGGATTGTACTTCCAGCTTGCTGCATACGCCCTTCAAGCTGATCTTGGAGATTGTGAAGAACAAAACTTTGCATACTTCTGCCCACAGGGATTTTTCCCTTTTTGGGTAAGGGCTCTGTTATTTTGTTATTTGCTTTTTGCTGGTTTTCCCCTTCAGACTGTAAAGTAAAAAAAAAAATCTCCTGTTCACCTGTTCTTACTGTTCACAAACTAAAGGTGTTTTCATTGTGGTATCGTACAGATTGTACAGAAGCATGGGAATGATTATATCCTGAAGCACACCCCAGCCCTGCACAGAGAGCTTAAAGGAATGTCATCCAGCGAGGCTGCCTTGCTTTTCATACAGGAAGCATTTACCTTGAGTGATGTGCCTCTCACCATCTATAGATTGTCCAAAGTTAGTGTTTTTTTTGTTTTTTTTGCTCAAGTTCACTGTATTCAGAAGTGCGGTAATCAAGGCCAGTCAAGTCCAGATTCAGACTTAAGTCTGAGTCCGAGATTTTCCATAGCATTTAGTTTTGTCTGGTCATAGAAAATATGGTCTTGGACTGGAGACAGACTCTTGTCCAAACTGGAATACTACAACACTGGTATTCAGTCAAACCAGAGTTGTGCATTATTCAGAAGTGAATTGAGAATACCTGAAAACGAGGTACACTGAAAAAATAAATAAAAATAAAAATAAATAAATAAATAAATATATATAGTACACTCACTACTTTACATTGTAGCAAAGTGTATATATATATACCACGTGCATAAATATTAGGCACGTTGATATTCTGATGATATTTTTTTTCCAAGCACATTTTACCAATTCCAAACCACATCAATCTCAATAACTACTATGTATTGTGTATTTAATCATTTATATAAGTGATATATAATTGTAAATGAAGGCTGGAAGTGAAAACTCCTTATGTTCAGATGTGCAGAATTATTAGGCATGTTTTCTTATACCGATAAAATGAGCCAAAAAAGAGGTTTAACTCGGACTGAGATGTCAAAAATTATTAAATCCCCATGAGAAATATTGAAAACTAATGCAATACAGAAATTGCAAAGTTAAGACATGACCATTGCTCACTGGGACAGCGGGGTCAGAAAAAACAGGTGGAAAAGAAAAGACACGTTAACTGCAAAAGATTTAAGAATTAATGTGAGGAATTAGGTGTGAAACCATCAGGAACCATTTAGTCTTCAGTGCCACCATTTTCCAGAACTGCAACCTTCCTGGAGTCTCCAGAATTACAAGGTGTCAGGTTCTCAGAGACTTTGCTTGGGTAAAAAATCTTTAAAAATTACCCTCACTTAATAAGAATAACATGCTGAAGTATTGTGAAATAGATTAAGACTTATTTTTTTATAGGCTTCATGGACAGATAAGTTGAGAGTGACTTGAAGGACCAGCATCACATCCTCTTGTACCACTGTGTGAAGAATTGATCTTCCAGAATCTGCCAGTAAGTTTTACGAGCTAATTTTTAGTCAATCCTGCAAGACAGACTTTTCAGGATAGGAGATGGAATAAAAATTAGCTCCTAAAACTTATGGAAAAAAAAAATGTGCACATCATGAAGCCAGTGGATTTCTAAAGCATGTTTAATGGGGGAAAAAAGAAAACACATCATTGCCATCAAGCTTGGGTCTCTGAGAGTTCAAATAAAAATAATATGACTGACTTGACTAGTATATATATATATATATATATATAAGTTAATAAAACAATGATTATTGGAGTGCGTTTTAAAATAAGACACCATTTCTTTTTACTTTTTTATTTTATTATTATTGTAATATTTACTAGCAATTTTTTAGTGAAAATTGTTTCAAAGTGAATCTTACTCCAATTTTTGAAGTGTATACAAACTGAATGCAGAATCACACTTTGTTCATTTGTGAAGATTATCATGATGAACAAAACTTTTGTTGGCACAAAGCTTATTTCATGCAATAATCCAAGAGCCAATGGAAAATTTCTGTTGGGTTTTTGTTGAGGGTGATGCTAACTAGGGTGATGCTAACTTGCAGGTTGCCCTACAAAATATATAATCGCTGCAGCCAGTTCTTCAGTTTAGAATTTTGCTCAGACATAAATTTTTACCAGTATTTATCACATTTCACTAATACAATTCTCTGTCTCTTTCTCTCTCTTTCTTTCCATTTCTGCCCCTCCTCTGTATCCCTGCTGTCTCAGGAAAAGAAAAAACCACAAGGTTGTGTCCTCATGGGTGTGGCATCCACAGGACTGCAGATCTCTGAGGTCATTCCAAAATCATGGCCAATTACATCATTCATGCCATGTGTATCATACTGAAACACAAATAATATTCTACCCATAAGCGTAGAGTTTTCCACTCAGGTTTGCACAAACCAGCACTAAACCGGTATTATTCAACCTGGGGCAGAATATAAATTCATGCTGGTTCAATCTAGTCATTTCACTCATAGCCATGTCACCCTTACGGTTAAATACAGGTGCATCTCAATAAATTAGAATGTCATGGAAAAGTTCATTTATTTCAGTAATTCAACTCAAATTGTGAAACTCGTCTTATGCTCACCAAGTCTGCATTTGTTTGATGAAAAATACAGGAAAAACAGCAATATTCTGAAATATTATTATAAATTTTTTTTAAAGTAATTTATTTCTGTGATGGCAAAGCTGAATTTTCAGTTGCTATTCAAGTAGATCCTTCAGAAATCATTGTAATATGCTGATTCAGTGCTCAAGAAAAATACTATTAACAAAGTTGAAAACAGTTTTGCTGCTTAATATTTTTGGGGAAACCATGATATATCATTTAAATGTCTGGGGCAAAATTAAAAGAGAGAGAGAGAGAAAGAAAGTAATACTTTAATTCAGCAAGGATACATTAAATTGATCAAAAGTAACAGTAAAGACATTTATAATGTTACAATATTTCTGAAGGATCATGTGACACTAAAGACTGAAGACTGGCGTAATGGCTGCTGAAATTGCAGCTGTGCCATCACAGGAATAAATAACATTTTTAAAATATACTAAAATAGATTTAAATGATAATACTATTTCACAATATTACTGTTTTTGCTGTATGTTTGATAAAATAAAGCATGAGAGACTTAAAAAAAAAAAAAAAAATTAATTATTCTATTTTGATCTTTTGATCTTCTAACTTTTGACTGGTAGTGTATGCATTAGATATCACGAAATAATCTTTTACATCATGTATTAATCTTTTAACGGTTTTTTTTTTTTTTTAACGTTAGTTAGTGTGTAATGTTGATGTTTGAGCATTAACAATGGCTGCAAAGTTGCGGCGCTGAAAGTTCAATGCAAACGAAGATATCGCCTTTTAAAATTCTGACAGTTTAATGCCTACAAAAACTGCTCCGTAGGGACTACAACGAGTTACTTCCCGGGTTTGTGACATCACAAACCCAGACAAACCCCACCCCTGGGAACATGCAACAAAGGGGGCGAGGTCATGCTGCGCTACTTTAGAGAAGAGGAAGAAAACTAGGGGTGCACGTAAAAATCTATTCATATATGAAATTGCGAATCTCTCTTCTAACAATAATGGTTCTCTTTCTAACATTCGTTCGGTATCTCACTATGGGAACACCTCAGGCGTGACCGATCGCGGAAGCACCAATAACACCATGTCTGCCAACTATGGCAGACCAATCGCTGCAGCGATCAGGGAGTCCTGCCTCCCTGTATATAAACCACAGCTACCTGCTGTTTCATCATTCTCGCTCTCTTCCCCGTGAAGATTTTCGGAAGCTGGCTCAGCAGACTTTGGGAATTATTTTCTTAACAGTTTCCAGATGGAGCAGCAAGGTAACGTCCCAAACGCAATACATTCCTAACGTTTGTTGAGCGACTTCACTTAGAGTGAGATAACTAACGCGTCAGGGCGAGTTTTATTCTAAAATGTTTTCAATTTATTTTCCAAGTTTTTGGGGGTGCTCACCACGCACCAAAAAGAAGGAAAAGGAGCTCTCTATCACAGCACAGCTCCGTACTAGTTGTCACGTTGTGGTGGGCTTACCGTACGAAGAGAGTGCAGGCCCCATGCACGAAGTTCTCTTCTAAAACCCGAGAGCGAAGACTCCGCATGGCAGTAGTTGGGAAGTCGGACCCATGCCTCTCTGCTCAACGCAGAGAGGAACTGATGGATGGGTCCGCAGGCCAGCAGCTCGTGGGGAGAGATGATGGAGAGGGTGTCACCCTTCCTTCCCCCGCTGTTCGAAGATCCGTTAGCGGGAGAGGAAGATGACGAGGACGAAGTATTGTCGGCCATCCTCGAGGACGAGGATGACGATGATGAAGATGCTATTCTTCGCCCAAATCAGTCGCGTCCGCCGAGTGCACAGGATGTGAGTTCACCCTCCCCTGTACAGACGGATACGGATCTACTCGAGGTCTGTCGCAGGGCCGCGGCTAGACTGTCGATCGACTGGCCATCCCAACCGGCAGGTCAGGGGGCCGAAAGAGATTTGTATGATGGAAAGAGACTTCTTTCGTCACATCTCCCTCCAGCGAGGCAGTTTACTCAAGCCGTCCCGGCTTGTGTGACTGAAATGAAGAGGTTTTGGGACAAGCCTTTTTCCCACCGTGTGCCCGTCAAGGGCTTCTCGAGGCTGGATGTTCAGGGAATGGAGGATTTGGGGATGGCGGATCCTCCCCCTGTTGAATCATCTGTGGCTAATCATTTGCACCCAAGTCGCAGGGCAGCGCTCTCTTCAACCGGAGCCTCGCTCCAGGGAAAACGGAGCGCTTCGCCGCTTCTGTTTTTCACAAGATCTATAAATCATCTGCACTGGCCGTTGCAGATGCGGAGTCCAGCTGACGTCCCATCTCCTCAAATAACTCCGCTTGATAGGCAGTAAGGAGGGACGTCGTGCTTAGAATGCGACATCCCTCCTTACTGCCTATCAAGCGGAGTTATTTGAGGAGATGGGACGTTAGCTGGACTCCGGATCTCCCAACCCAGCGCTCTGGGAAGAGATATGCGTCATCGCAGATTTAAACCTGCGCACGTCCCACGGAGCAGTTCAAAGCTGCGGTCGGAGTATGGGCTTAGCGGTTGTGGGAGAGAGATCGCTATGGCTGGGTTTGTCAGGCCTCTCTGACAAAGAGAAGGTGGAGTTTTTGGGGGACATTCTGACTATCAACCTTCCCGTCCGGCTCCACCGCAACAGCCGGGAAACGCGGGCCCTCAGGTTGCCACTGCAGCAAAACACCGGTCGGCAACCCCTCAGGGAAACAAAAAGAGGCGGTCGACCTGAGACGTCAGCTTGGCATCAGGAAGGGTTTGGAGACAGCACTCAGGGTTTCTCTGTCCCATCCCTTCAGAACGATTCCATTCTCCCTCCCGCGGGGAAAAGGAGAAGGAATTTAAATGTGAAATGGGCTTGTGTGGTCAGTTCAAAGTCCAATGTGTGCGGGGAAATGGCCCATGTTTCTCTGGTACCCCCCAAAGAATTGTCTCCCCCTCCACCTACGAGGTTTGTTCTGAGGGTGGAAGGACAAGAGTTCATAAGCATCCCATCACAAATAAAGTTTTCTCAGACGCATTCAGGCCAAGGGCTGAGGGCGCAGAGTGGGATAAGACGGGAAGTGAGCGAAGACGGGAAGGGCCCACTCGCAGCTCAGGCAGCGAACTGGCACGCATGCGCAGTTCATCCCTGGGTTTTAACCACGATAGACAGGGGATACAGACTTCAATTCGCTGTAAAACCTCCTGTGTTCAATGGAGTGGTAATCTCAGTGGCCCAAGGGGAAGCAGCTCAGGTTTTAGAGGAAGAAATACCCTCTTTAATGAGAAAAGGAGTGATAAGAGTGATTCCAACGAGAGAAAGCCACATAGGTTTTTACTCCTGGTATTTTGTGATTCCCAAAAGAGGGGGAGGTTTCCGTCCCATTTCGGATTTACGGGTCCTCAACGAACACCTCAGAAAATACAAATTCAAAATGCTGTCGCTCAGAATGTGTCAGAGTATTCATCAGGGAGATTGGTTCACCTCAGTGGACCTCCAGGATGCATATTTTCACATAGATATTTTTCCTTCTCACAGGAAATATCTGAGGTTCGCTTATCAAGGCACAGCATACGAGTATACGAAAATACCCGTTGGCCTTGCTTTGGCTCCCAGGGTTTTCAGCAAATGTGTGGAAGCGGCTCTGACGCCGTTAAGGAACGGAGGGGTCAGAGTTTCATCATATCTGGACGATCTGCCCATCTGCACGCTGTCCTCGAGGCAGGCAGAGAGCGATACGTACACACTAGTGACTCATCTGGAGAGATTAGGTTTCAAGATAAACCAGACGAAGAGTTGCCTAAGGAACTCTTGCACAGGAAATAGTCTACTTGGGTCTCAGGTTGAATTCAGTGAGGTTTCGAGCTTTCCTATCAGAGGATCGCATCAAGACATTTCACAGCTGCCTCTCCCTTTTTCAACGAGGGAGATCAGTCTCTTTCAGAATGTATCTTTGGCTACTGGGTCTGATGGCCTCGACAGTGTCAGTGGTTCCCCTGGGACTGCTGAGAATGAGGGATTTTCAGATTTGGACAGCGTCACAGGGCATTCGCCCCGAGAGCCGTCTCAGCCGCAGAGTGCGTGTCTCACTAGAATGCATGAGTGCTCTTCGTCATTGGAGAGCCCCGTCTTTTCTCAGGACAGGATGCCCTCTGGGTCCTGTTATGTTAAGGAAAGTGGTGACGACAGATGCATCTCTCACGGGCTGGGGGGCGGTGTTCGAGGGCAGAACAGTGAGAGGAGTTTGGTCTCCCGCACTGAGAGAGAAGCACATACATTTTCTAGAACTACTAACAGTGTTACTAGCTCTGAGACATTTTGTGCATTTTCTCAATAATCATCATGTATTGGTCAGGACGGAAAATACAACGGTGATAGCCTACATAAATCGGCAGGGAGGAGTTCGTTCTCACAAGCTTCACTTGTTAGCGAAAGAACTGATTATGTGGAGCAGCAGGACCCTCCTGTCGTTACGCGTGACACATGTTCCAGGAATAATGAACAGGGGAGCAGATTTACGGTCCAGAGGGAATCCTCTGTACGGGGAGTGGAGACTCCACCCCCAAGTGATCCTCATGGTGTGGCAGAGATTCGGCTGAGCCGCTGTAGATCTCTTCGCATCGTGGATGCTCTAGCCCACGAGTGGCCAGACGTGTTACTGTACGCGTTCTCTCCGTTGAGCCTGATCGAGCCGACACTACGGAGGGCTCGGCAATGCAAACATGTAATGATTCTGATCGCGCCATACTGGCCGGGGAGACTGTGGGTTGCGGAGATTTCGCAACTGCT